TGACAAATTGGGGACGTATATCGGTGGTTATATAGCCGCAAATTTAACGTTATATCGGTAAAAATCCTTCCCACTAACAAGCACATAAACAGTATAACAGCTGGACAGCCATGCTGACAACCATGTTGAAATTACAAATATGCATTACCTTGAAAACCTATCCAAATACACTTCTTTAACTTGTCCGAAACACTCTGCCCAGTGCATGCAATGATAGCACGTCATAGATACTATATTTAGGTGTATTCATAACCTCAACCTTAAGTTGAACAGAAAGCCATTATCTTTCTATGATTAATTTGACGAGTTAATGAAAGAGAGATGTAACAATGCAAGGTTATCATGCTATGGAACGCCACATTGTAACGTCACTAGGGTGCAGAACACCACTCTGTAAGGCTACAACGCAATGATCAGCACTCTGTGGGGTTACCATGGATCAGAATGTGGTATTGTCAGGTTGCTATGGTATGGAACATTGTAAGGTTATTGCCAAGTCAGTTTTGTTACATGAGTGTAATAAGTAATCTGCCAAGTTATTAGAGGAAATATGAGTTACTGAAAGGTACTCACACACATATCATCAGGGCTCGATTTAAGAGATGTTAATCTACTTGCACCAGGTGCAACCTGAGATAACCTAGTTGCACCAGACAAATTCCAGTTGCACTGCTTTTATGGTAATATGTAATGAATGGAATATGCTATTGAATTATTTAGATGTTTTATTCAGAAGTTTACCCACTAAAAATTGACTTGCACCTGGTGCAGAGTTAGACTAATAACTATGTTGCACTTTGTAATATTGCAAGTAACAAAGCACTAAATCGAGCCCTGTATCATTCTTATATACATTGACCATATGTGTGGAACTCTCAATTCAAATTATATATTAAAGTTTTGCAAGTACCATTTTCATCAGATATACACATTTTTCAAGAGATGAGACTGAATTATTTGATCCTTCTATTCCTTCCAGCAAACATTAGCACCTACATCAGGAGCCACTGTAAGTCAATCTTCATGTGTCCGCATGTTTAACAACAGGATTAGTGCTAATATCATCCTGTCACGGTAAACCCAGACTCAGAAACACAGAACAAGCCTGAAGCAAGTTCTACAACTGACATGCATAGGACTGAGAAGTATCCCGAGTTGATGTAGTAAGGGAGACAACTCCAGATCTCACAGTGAACAAGTGGGGAATGGACACCTGTAAATCATCTGTCAATGGTATCATCATCATCATCATCATCATCATCATCATCATCATCACATTGCAATTACCCCAATGGGTGCCATATTTACCTGTTATCCTGAGTGGTTTTACCTGACCTGAATGTTGTGGAGGAACTAGCCAGATGCTGTAGCATCTGTGATTTGGTTTGGAAAATTGTCACCATGCCATGTACACGTGCAAACTAGTACACACTACACTTGACAGTCCTCTGTAATTACTACCTGTGGGGATCTGACACATGCTCTCTGTGTTATTAATCATTACCTGTGGGGAACTCACACCTGACTGACAAAGGGTCTCTGTGTAAATAGTACCCTGTGTGTTTGTTTGAGTGCGTGCTCGCATTATTACTGCCACTGGGGAACAGACACATGGTCTGTGTAAATACTGCCTGTAGGGAACAGACATATGGTCTGTGTGTAATTACTGCCTGTGGGGAACAGACACATGGTCTGTGTAATTACTGCCTGTGGGGAACAGACACATGCTCTGTGTAATTACTGCCTGTGGGGAACAGACACATGCTCTGTGTAATTACTGCCTGAGGGGAACAGACACATGGTTTGTGTAATTACTGCCTGTAGGGAACAGACACATGGTCTGTGTGTAATTACTGCCTGTGTAGAACAGACACATGGTCTGTGTTTTTACTGCCTGTGGGGAACAGACACATGGTCTGTGTAATTACTGCCTGTAGGGAACAGACACATGGTCTCTGTGTAATTACTGCCTGTAGGGAACAGACATGCTCTGTGTGTAATTACTGCCTGTAGGGAACAGACATATGGTCTGCGTGTAATTACTGCCTGTGGGGAACAAACACATGGTCTGTGTAATTACTGCCTTTAGGGAACAGACACATGCTCTGTGTGTAATTACTGCCTTTAGGGAACAGACACTTGGTTTGTGTGTAATTACTGCCCGTGGGGAACAGACATATGGTCTGTGTAATTACTGCCTGTGGGGAACAGACACATGGTCTGTGTAAATACTGCCTGTAGGGAACAGACACATGGTCTGTGTGTAATTACTGCCTGTGGGTAACAGACACATGGTCTGTGTATTTACTGCCTGTGGGGAACAGACACATTGTCTGTGTAATTACTGCCTGTAGGGAACAGACACATGCTCTGTGTGTAATTACTGCCTGTAGGGAACAGACACATGCTCTGTGTGTAATTACTGCCTGTGGGGAACAGACACATGGTCTGTGTAATTACTGCCTGTAGGGAACAGACACATGGTCTGTGTGTAATTACTGCCTGTAGGGAACAGACACATGGTTTGTGTGTAATTACTGCCTTTGGGGAACAGACACATGGTTTGTGTGTAATTACTGCCTGTAGGGAACAGACACATGCTCTGTGTGTAATTACTGCCTGTGGAGAACAGACACATGGTCTGTGTGTAATTACTGCCTGTGGGGAACAGACACATGCTCTGTGTGTAATTACTGCCTGTAGGGAACAGACACATGGTTTGTGTGTAATTACTGCCTGTAGGGAACAGACATATGGTTTGTGTGTAATTACTGCCTGTAGGGAACAGACATATGGTTTCTGTGTAATTACTACCTGTCGGGATCTGACACATGCTCTCTGTGTTATTAATCATTACCTGTGGGGAACTCACACCTGACTGACAAAGGGTCTCTGTGTAAATAGTTCTCTGTGTGTTTGTTTGAGTGCGTGCTCGCATTATTACTGACACTGGGGAACAGACACATGCTCTGTGTGTAATTACTGACTGTAGGGAACAGACACATGGTCTCTGTGTAATTACTGCCTGTGGGGAACAGACACATGGTCTGTGTGTAATTACTGCCTGTAAGGAACAGACACATGCTCCGTGTGTAATTACTGCCTGTGGGGAACAAACACATGGTCTGTGTGTAATTACTGCCTGTAGGGAACAGACACATGGTTTGTGTGTAATTACTGCCTGTGGGGAACAGACACATGGTCTGTGTGTAATTACTGCCTGTGGAGAACAGACACATGGTCTATGTGTAATTACTGCCTGTAAGGAACAGACACATGCTCTGTGTGTAATTACTGCCTGTGGAGAACAGACACATGGTCTCTGTGTAATTACTGCCTGTAGGAAACAGACACATGCTCTGTGTGTAATTACTGCCTTTAGGGAACAGACACTTGGTTTGTGTGTAATTACTGCCACTGGGGAACAGACACATGGTCTGTGTGTAATTACTGCATGTGGGGAACAGACACATGCTCTGTGTGTAATTACTGCCTGTGGGGAACAGACACATGGTCTGTGTGTAATTACTGCCTGTAGGGAACAGACACATGGTTTGTGGGTAATTACTGCCTGTTGGGAACAGACACATGCTCTGTGTGTAATTACCACCTGTAGGGAACAGACACATGATCTGTGTGTAATTAATGCCTGTGGGGAACAGACACATGCTTTGAGTGTAATTACTGCCTGTGGGGAACAGACGCATGGTCTGTGTGTAGTTACTGCCCGTAGGAAACAGACACATGCTCTGTGTGTAATTACTGCCTTTAGGGAACAGACACATGGTTTGTGTGTAATTACTGCCTGTCGGTAACAGACACATGGTTTGTGTGTAATTACTGCCTGTAAGGAACAGACACATGGTTTGTGTGTAATTACTGCCCGTAAGGAACAGACACATGGTCTGTGTGTAAGTACTGCCTTTAGGGAACAGACACATGGTTTGTGTGTAATTACTGCCTGTGGGGAACAGACACATGGTTTGTGTGTAATTACTGCCTGTAAGGAACAGACACATGGTTTGTGTGTAATTACTGCCTGTGGGGAACAGACACATGCTCCGTGTGTAATTACTGCCTGTAGGGAACAGACACATGGTCTGTGTGTAATTACTGCCTGTGGGGAACAGACACATGGTCTGTGTAATTACTGCCTGTGGGGAACAGACACATGGTCTGTGTGTAATTACTGCCTGTGGAGAACAGACACATGGTCTATGTGTAATTACTGCCTGTGGGGAACAGACACATGCTCTGTGTGTAATTACTGCCTGTGGGGAACAGACACATGGTTTGTGTGTAATTACTGCCTGTGGGGAACAGACACATGGTCTGTGTGTAATTACTGCCTGTCGGGAACAGACACATGCTCTGTGTGTGATTACTGATACTGGGGAACAGACACATGCTCTGTGTGTAATTACTGCCTGTAAGGAACAGACACATGGTCTGTGTGTAATTACTGCCTGTCGGGAACAGACACATGGTTTGTGTAATTACTGCCTGTAAGGAACAGACACATGGTTTGTTTGTAATTACTGCCTGTGGGGAACAGACACATGCTCTGTGTGTAATTACTGCCTGTGGGGAACAGACACATGGTTTGTGTGTAATTACTGCCTTTGGGAAACAGACACATGGTTTGTGTGTATACTGCCTGTGGGGAACAGACACATGGTCTTTGTGTAATTACTGCCTGTGGGGAACAGACACATGCTATGTGTGTAATTACTGCCTTTGGGAAACAGACACATGGTTTGTGTGTAATTACTGCCTGTGGGGAACTGACACATGGTATATCTGTAATTACTGCCTTTGGTAAACAGACGCATGGTCTGTTTGTATTCCTTTGCTCATATACACCACCAGCTCACAAAGTGATGTCTGACTGATGTTAGTCAAATTTGGTAATACTACAAATAGGCCACATGTAACATTCTGAAACAAAACATAGCAGTAAGTGGTAAACAGTTAAAGGTTCAACACATTAATAGTCTTACTTGTCTTCTCCAAGCACCACTCCAAAGCCGACATGCTCCACTCGATGTCTGGAAGGGTCCAACCATCCGATCTGTTTGGCAGCGCTGTAGATTGTCTCCAGATGAGAACTCTGAAAGGGAGACCTTTATACATGACCTCTGTTTCATGTTCATAGCAGTAGAACAAACTGCCTACTTTTCTCCAGTGGTTTATTTTAAAGTCTGACAGATTTCAGGTGAATCTAACTGCTGCCAGCCATGTTGCACAGGGCATGAGATGCTCCAAAGTTCGTCTCTATTCTGGCACAGTAACCTATTTATCAGTGAAATTAAACTGGAAAATGAGAATGAATGGTGAACACGCTATGATCCAAATGTTTTTTGACATTAGTTTCATAAAGTCTCACAAAATGTATTATTCCCACAAACATCTTGGAAGTGACTTTTCTAACCTGTTACTATTTCACTTTATGTGAATACACTATCTGCAACCAAATCTCAAGTCCCACAAAGTCCCTCACCTGCCCCGAGTCCACAACATAGATGAGCCAGTCCCCATTCTCTGTGATCAGGCGGTTGTGTATAGTGGCAATGTCTGACGTGTCATATGTGTATCCTCCATCAGACTTGACCACCGTCAGAGGCACGGAGTGGCCGGGCACAAACATCACTTTACGTCCATCATCTTCTTGCAGGAAATCTGAACACAGATTGATATAGGGAGGCTATATTATATATTCACTTACAATGCATGGATGTGGTTTCATTGGGGATGTCATTGTATAGAGCAATGCTAATAGATCATGAATCTGGGGATGTCATTGTATAGAGCAATACTAATAGATCATGAATCTGGGGATGTCATTGTATGTAGCAATACTAATGGATCATGGATCTGGGGATGTCATTGTATAGAGCAATGCTAATAGATCATGAATCTGGGGATGTCATTGTATAGAGCAATACTAATAGATCATGAATCTGGGGATGTCATTGTATGTAGCAATACTAATGGATCATGGATCTGGGGATGTCATTGTATGTAGCAATACTAATAGATCATAAATCTCGGGATGTCATTGTATAGAGCAATACTAATAGATCATGAATCTGGGGATGTCATGGTATGTAGCAATACTAATGGATCATGGATCTGGGGATGTCATTGTATAGAGCAATGCTAATAGATCATGAATCTGGGGATGTCATTGTATGTAGCTATACTAATGGATCATGGATCTGGGGATGTCATTGTATAGAGCAATGCTAATAGATCATGAATCTGGGGATGTCATTGTATGTAGCTATACTAATGGATCATAAATCTCGGGATGTCATTGTATAGAGCAATACTAATGGATCATGAATCTGGGGATGTCATTGTATGTAGCAATACTAATGGATCATGGATCTGGGGATGTCATTGTATATAGCAATGCTAATAGATCATGAATCTGGGGATGTCATTGTATGTAGCTATACTAATGGATCATGGATCTGGGGATGTCATGGTATGTAGCAATACTAATGGATCATGGATCTGGGGATGTCATTGTATAGAGCAATACTAATGGATCATGGATCTGGGGATGTCATTGTATGTAGCTATACTAATGGATCATGGATCTGGGGATGTCATTGTATAGAGCAATGCTAATAGATCATGAATCTGGGGATGTCATTGTATGTAGCTATACTAATGGATCATGGATCTGGGGATGTCATTGTATAGAGCAATGCTAATAGATCATGAATCTGGGGATGTCATTGTATGTAGCTATACTAATGGATCATAAATCTGGGGATGTCATTGTATAGAGCAATGCTAATGGATCATAAATCTGGGGATGTCATTGTATGTAGCTATACTAATAGATCATGAATCTGGGGATGTCATTGTATAGAGCAATACTAATAGATCATGAATCTGGGGATGTCATTTTATAGAGCAATACTAATGGATCATGAATCTGGGGATGTCATTGTATAGAGCAATGTTAATGCAGTAATAATGTTCTTCATGTTTCAAATAGATCAATTAATGAAAATTATGGAAATTATTTATAAACTTATCCTGTCTCACGACTTGCACCTCTCTCTCTTGCTTCGACTTTTAGTGGAACGACTGTAAACTTTTTTCCATAGGCCTCCTTGTCCATTCGCCCGTGCACTCCATGCTGCTCTCCTTAATTAGCTTCCTAGTTCCTAGTAAAGCTTGCAGCATGCTCCACTAATTGCCCATGTGACTACCTTGAATGATCATTCTCATCTTGGAGCCAACGTTGTAATCTGAGTAGTGGGGAGACCGGGCGGGCATCCATCGCGTGAGATAGGGTAAGTATATAAATATACAATTTATACTAAAATTTCAAATTTTTTAAACTTATCCTATCTCACGACTTGCACTTATCCCACAGTTGGACGGCGGGCTGCAGATTACCCTTCTGTCTGGACAGTGCGAACAGCTGGTCTTGGAGCTGTGTGGACTGATGACAACCGTAGATAGCGATGTACAAGGGAGGCCTGTTACGCATGCATGCAACTCCTATGCTTGTAGTGGGTTCTCCGGAACCCCTTGGCTTACTAAGCACAACGACTCCCAGGGAGATGGGTGCTCCCGAGCGATGTGGTGTTCGGCCGCAACCTTGTAAAGACAAGGGACGCAACTCGGTAAGTAAGCCTCGCCTCGCCACGATTTACAAGGTATCCCCGTAATTAAAGTCTTGCGACTAGAATCGGGCCAGCCCCTGCTTCAAGAAGGCCCGCCAGACACGAACCGAGAGGGGTGAAAGAGAAACACAACTCGGCATCTCCAAGGTTTAACGTTCAGTTCCGGGCAGCATCAAATTGACCCTCACTCCTTTGCCTAAGCTTAGTCAAAGGATGTGCCTGGCAACTTTGGAGGCAGAACGCAACGAAATCCACTGGAATTCGGGAGTGTCACACTTCACTGACGTAATTACTCCGTTGGAGTAGAGGTCAGTAAGCGTGAATGTCGAACACTTCTGCAACGTCATACTGATTGTGCCTCAGGTCCATAGGGCCACGCTAGGTGGCCATATTACGATGCCTTGGTATGGAGGCCAACCGAAGTAGTTCTTAAACCCATATAATGAGAACAAAAAGGTTGAGATCCAGTTCAACTTTTATTCAGCATATACAAGGAAGTAGTAACGCTAATGCGGAAACGTCCCTCATCTGCGTTGTTAGGCCGATGTAAGCTGCTGAGCCAGTACAAGAGGTCCGAACTGGTGTAGTCCTTGGACATCCGTGACAGACAGGTCTCGCAGGTAATGTGAAGAGAAGACTGTATCAGAACGCCAGAAGCAACCTTCCATGGTAGCGGTCAAGCAGCAGTTGCTATGGATGGCCATCTTCGAGGCTAGTGCACGAGTCTCATGAGGATTGGAAGCGGCTGGAGGAGGCAACCCTGCAAAGGTGTAGGTTCACAGGATCATGGCACGCATCCAGAAAGCCAATGTGGTCCGGGAAACCTCAGTTCTTAAGGCGTTCGACAAAGGTATGAAGAGGCGCTTCTGTAGCTGTCGACGATCCTTGGAGGCAGTAAGGTAAACGTGTAGAGCCCTAACAGGGCAGAGTGTCAAATCTTCATTATCAACAGGCCCAAGAATGGTGGACAAGGGGGGAATGGTAAACATCCGGTCCGGTTGCCCTGTAAGTTGGTTTTTCGCAATGAAGTCCCAGCGGAGACCCAGGAAAGCCTTGCGATGCTTCTTCCGCTTGAACCGCACCCGATTGACATCAAGCGCATGCAGTTCAGATATGCGAGCAGTGGTAGCCAAAGCTACCAGGAAGAATGTCTTGAATGTCACTTGTTCGAAGACCTTGTCTTCTAAAGGTTCATAATCTGTAGAAATCATATGATGAAGGACGACGGACAGATCCCAGGCTGGAGGCTTCCTGGACTGGTCAGAGAGTCTATAGGGGCGTAGTAGACTCAGGAACAGTGGAAATCTTCGTGCCCGTGGTGGTAGCCAAAGCCGAGTTGATGGCAGCTAAGTAGGTAGCTAACGTAGTACCCTTGAGTTTCTTAGTAGTGCGGAGATGCTGGAGAAACTCAGCAATGACCTGAGCCGAGGTGGAAGTGGGAGATGCAATTCCCCTAACCTTGCAATAGTCTTCAAACTTCTTCCACTTGTTGTCGTATAAGGAACGGGTCGAAGTACGATGCGCTGAAGTGATAGCTGTGGCTACTCGGCGAGAGTAGCCCTTAGCTATGAGAGACCTCTGAAGATGCACCAAACGTGTAGATTGAGGATCTGAGGTGACCCGTGGCACAGTTCCGAGTGAGGGTGAAGAAGTAGGTCGTCCTGATTGGGAAGCGATACTGGGTTTGATTCTGCCAGGCTTCTTAGGTTGACGAACAAACTTCTCGCTGGCCAGAAGGCTGCGACCAAAACCAGTGTATGTTGCTGGTGGCCAATAGTTTCTGTATTACTTTTGGTAGCAGATCTGGAGGGGGGAACGCGTAGTCATTGAGACCCTCCCATGATATTGCCGACGCGTCGAGGTCCCAAGCCAAGGAGTCTGGGATTGGTGATACGAACTTTGGAAGTTGGTTGTTGAACCATGTGGCGAACAGATCTATTTGAGGCTGTGATAACGGGTAGATCATCGACTGAAAGATCTTGGGCAGTACCTTCCACTCTGTCGGGGATGGTCAGTTGGATCAGGACAAGGCATCGCCGATCACATTTTTTTCCCCAGGAATATGTCTGGCTCTGGCTACGATGTTGAGTGAGTTGATGAGATGGAAGAACCTGATCGCCCATTGTAGCAGATTCGCCGAGCCTGTTGAGCCTAGATGATTTATATACCAAACCACTGTTGAATAGTCTCATTGGATCAACAGACTGGTTGATTGAAGCTCTGTTGCCCAATGTGAGATGGCTTGAATTACCGCTTTGAATTCCAGCTTGTTTATATGAAGTACCCGTTCGTCGGATGACCACAGCCCGGCCACTTGGTGGTCGAGGTAGTGAGCTCCCCAACCCATGATGGATGCATCGACAAATAGGTGATGAGTTGGTGCAAAGGGCATCGTAGAGACTCTAGCGCAAACATTTCGTTCGTCGAGCCACCATTGACGGACTGGACGAGGCGGTTCTGGAAGGCAAATTAGTTCCTTGGGGTTGTCGGCCTGAAGGTACGGGCATAGAAATCACTGTATCGGCCAAAGTTGGAGCTGGCCTCTGTATGTTAAGGCTTGAGCTGATGTCAGAAGGCCAAGTAGCTCCTGCCACTGTCGTAAAGTTCTCGCATTCCAAATGGTAGGACTTTCCATTGGTAGTGATTCCCACTGAACACGATGCGAAGGTACTGGATGTATTGGAACGTGAAGATAAGCATCCTGAAGATCTAGGCTGATGAGGAAGTCTCCCTTCTTCAGGATGGTGCGTAAAAGGTTGATCGACACCATCCTGAAGTGAGGCGGTGGAAGCAGGAATTGGGCATTGAACAACTTCATTTTGAAGATGAGCCGGAGTTTGTTGGAATTTTTCTTTGGAACCAAGAAGATGGGGGAGTAGAATCCTGGAGTGACGGGCGATGGACCTAAGAGCTCTATCGAGAGTTTGTCTAATAGCAGAGTCTGAAGCTGGTCCACCTATTGTGGATTGCAGAGTCTGAAGCTGGTCCACAGGCCAGATCTGTTTCCTCTGCCACGCCTTGACCGGAATCCGTGTTGTAAATCCTGAGACGACTGGTTTCTTTATCAACTTTATTAGATACTTCTTGGATGCTACCATTGAAGAGGGAGTCAGTAAACCAAGGCTGGTGAAATAGTTCTGTTTTAAATCGCTCCTCCCATGAAGAGATGTTAAGGGGTCCATGTCAGCGAACAGCAAGAGTGTAGCCCAAAAAATGAGACAACTGATCCAGGATAATTTGGAACTGGTCCAGAGCTAAAGTCATGCATCCTCGGATGTAAGCATCTTGAACAGAGTAAGTATGCTCCAGAGCAGTGTTAACAGCGTCGACTGCTGCAATCAGGCAACTAATAGATGGCAACGTCTTTCTCATGGCTGAATCCATGTGAGCCAACTCTCGGTCCTCAATAAGGTAGGGCGAAGCAGCTCGTTTGCCAACACAGGGTTCCAATATCCTCATCAACTGTTGTAGCCGTAGAGATTTTTGTTAGGCCATGGACATGAGAGGTAGAAGGATTATATCTGGAAGCAGAGAATCCGTCCTTAATTCGTTTCAGGCTCTCGAAACCATCATTTAGTACACTGGTCGAGGTGGTAGGGTGATGGTAGACCAATCCCGGTTCTTAAGAGTATAAGAGTGATCCAGGTCATCTGCTGAAGTGCTTCTCAACAATCCAAAGGAGTACCTGAGGTGTCTCAACTGCTGCAAAGCTACCCCCCAGGGGTAGATAACTCAGAGTGAGCGGGAGATGCAGGCATGGCTATTTGGACTGGATCAATCTCAGGAGGTGGACCAGATGAAGAGCCAGGAGCTACCGAAGCCGGATGGGCTGGAGTAGATGGCTGTATTTGGTTCCAGGCTGAGGTTATGGCCCTGATCATCATATTTAGATCCGGAGTCGCTGTAGGAGTGGGATTGAAATCCTAGAGTGAGTCGAAGGATTCTCAGTGGGTAGCCTATTAGTGGTATCAGAGCAATGATCACCCGAACGTCGGTGAGAGGATCTGTATCGAGATCTCGACGTGGTAAGTACCGAAGTAGGTTGGTAAGCCGGTGATCTGGATTCCCTAGTATGGCTAGGTGATCTGGTATGATATGAAGAACTAGTCCGGGTCGCTGTAGTTCTAGTTGGTGATCTTGTTCTGATTGGAGCTCTGGTTCGACCATCTGAATAGGATCGGCCATGAGATGTGGATCTATACTGTAATCCCAATTGGTCAATGGCTCTGTAAGGTGATCTAGATCTTATAGGTGACCTGGGTTGGTAAGATGATCTGGATTTGTAAAGTGATCTGGATCGATTCGATGCACTAACTGGAAACTGTGATCGTGATCTGGATCTATAAGGTGATCTGGTTTCCAGTTGCGATCTGGCTTGATTTGGTGATCTGGATCGGTCAGGTGATCTACTTTGATGTTGTGATCTGGATCAGTTCGGTGATCTGGATTGGTCTGGTGATCTACTTCGATGTTGTGATCTGGATCGGTTAGGTGACCTAGATCGGTCCGGTGATCTGATTCGAAGTTGTGATCTGGATCCATTCGGTGATCTGGATCGATTAGGTGATCTGGATCGGTCCGATGATCTACTTCGATGTTGTGATCTGGATCGGTTCAGTGATCTGGATCGATTAGGTGATCTGGATCGGTCCGATGATCTACTTCGATGTTGTGATCTGGATCGGTTCAGTGATCTGGATCGATTAGGTGATCTGGATCGGTCCGATGATCTTCTTCGATGTTGTGATCTGGATCGGCTAGGTGATCTGGATCTGTCCTGTGATGTGATTCGGAGTTGTGATCTGGACCCGTTTGGTGATCTGGATCGGTTAGGCGATCTGGATTGATCAGGTGATTAGGATTGTAGTTGTGCTCTGGATCACGACTGTGATCTGGATCGATCCGGTGATCTGGATCGGCACGGTGATCTAGATCGGGCTTGTGATGGTGATCTGGATCGTGAAGGTGATCTAGATCATTGTGGTGATCTAGAATGATGTGGTGATCTTGATCGGCACGGTGATCTAGATCGGGCTTGTGATGGTGATCTGGATCGTGCAGGTGATCTAGATCGTTGTGGTGATCTAGAATGATGTGGCGATCTGGATCGGCGATTAGGTGACGAAACCTGAAGTGTTGATTTATGATGAATGTCCCCTGGCGACGCTGTTGTAGCCAGCTCTGTCCGGTTCAATGAACTGTGGGGAGACAGTTGGCTGGTTGAACGCGGTTGGCCAGGCTCCAAACAAACTGAGACAGTCGAGGGGATATGTACCAAAGATCTGGAATTTGATAGTGTCGATCTAAGGTCCCCTGGTAGTGTAGATGGGACAGGAAAACGAAGAATTATCGATTACAACCACCCGCGAGTGATCTGACGCTATGGAAGGAGGTGATTGATGCGTACGTAATAGGTGCCGAACGTCCTCAGATAAGTAAGAATCTGATGAAGCGTCCATAAAATCCTCTTGAACCACAGACGTCGCTCTCTTGCATGAAGGATTTTCTGTCGCTGTAACTTGATATGCTTGGTGGGAGTGGGATCAGATTCTGTTGATTTCCTGTCCCTATCGGCGATTCTCGAGGAGCAAACATGAAGGTAGCCTGTAGGCCCTTTTCTTTTAAATCACTTATCTTTTCCAGTGAATTACACTTGCAAAACGAGTGAGGGTCGGGCCTTGCATTGAGCACAAACTTTCCTTTTCCTTGACTTTATCAGTTCTAGTTACATTGTCCAATACAACAAGTCTTTATTAAGAACTAGGGAAGCTAATTATTAGGAGGAAGCAGCATGGAGTGCACGGGCAAATGGACAAGGAGGCCTATGGAAAAGAGTTTACAGTCGTTCAACTATAAGTCGAAGCAAGAGAGAGAGGTGTAAGTCGTGAGATAAGATAAGTTTAAAAATTAAAATTGATACTGAATTAAAAACTCATTGCCATAAAATGTTTATATTTGTCAATAGGTATATTCTAATGGACTGTTTCTGTGGTCAGTGATTAATCGGTCACTGATATATTCTTCACATAATAAATTCTGAAAAGCTAACCAATGGGAAAGTATAGAATCAATATACTGATTAAATAGTTCCACTATATATCAAAATATTTGTGTGTTATTGAATAAGAAAATAGTGTAAATTCATGTGTAGCATTAACAAATGTACAACAAATATATCTAGACCTACAGTTTTATGCTAAATATGATCTATAAAATGATTCGGGTTGAATTTTCTGACCTTATTATTTTGCTGTCTTGACCATGATACTCTATATTTACTATCCTTGTTGTAAATACCAAACCACTAAAGAGACAACCATAATTATATCCATGTAAATTCTACAATAAATCACATACACAAGAAAACATTGCAACAGGCCTTGAAGCCTGGTCTACTATGGGAGATTTGTTTTTCATTGCTATTTTTTCTTAGAAACTCATTGAAATGAAAAAGAATTTAAATGGACTAATCCGGGAACCATGATATCAAGGATTATACATTCACTCTCTCACCTCTGTCCTCCAAGTTTTTAACTATAACTTTCATCATTTCATTGTAGTATGACTCGCCGCGGTCCTCAAGGTGCACGTCAAGACGTTCGTACACTTTCTGAAACTCTGAAACATCAACAGTTATGAATAAGTGATTACATTTCTCTTGATATTGTACATAGCTGTATATAGTCTATCCTTCCTGGAGATATTGAAGATGAGCTGTTTTTGCCTACCCTTCCTGGAGATATTGTATATCAGCTGTATATAGCCTACCCTTCCTGGAGATATTGTATATCAGCTGTATATAGCCTACCATTCCTGGAGATATTGTATATCAGCTGTATATAGCCTACCCTTCCTGGAGATATTGTATATCAGCTGTATATAGCCTACCCTTCCTGGAGATATTGTATATCAGCTGTATATAGCCTACCATTTTTGAGATATTGTATATCAGCTGTATTTAGCAAATCCTTCCTGGAGACATTGTATATAGCTGTACATAGCCTACCATTCCTGGAGATATTGTATATCAGCTGTATATAGCCTACCATTCCTGGAGATATTGTATATCAGCTGTATATAGCCTACCCTTCCTGGAGATATTGTATATCAGCTGTATATAGCCTACCCTTCCTGGAGATATTGTATATCAGCTGTATATAGCCTACCCTTCCTGGAGATATTGTATATAGCTGTATATAGCCTACCCTTCCTGGAGATATTGTATATCAGCTGTATATAGCCTACCCTTCCTGGAGATATTGTATATAGCTGCTATAGCCTACCATATAGATATTGTATATCAGCTGTATATAGCCTACCATTCCTGGAGATATTGTATATCAGCTGTATATAGCCTACCATTCCTGGAGATTGTATATTGTATATAGCCTATATTCCTGGAGATATTGTATATCAGCTGTATATAGCCCACCACCCTTCCTGGAGATATTGTATATCAGCTGTATATAGCCTACCTTCCTGGAGACATTGTATATCAGCTGTATATAGCCTACCATTCCTGGAGATATTGTATATCAGCTGTATATAGCCCTACCCTGGATTCCTGAGACATTGTATATCAGCTGTAGCCTACCCTTCCTGGAGATATTGTATATCAGCTGTATATAGCCTACCCTTCCTGGAGATATTGTATATCAGCTGTATATAGCCTACCATTCCTGGAGATATTGTATATCAGCTGTATATAGCCTACCCTTCCTGGAGACATTGTATATAGCTGTATATAGCCTACCATTCCTGGAGATATTGTATATCAGCTGTATATAGCCTACCCTTCCTGGAGATATTGTATATCAGCTGTATAGAGCCTACCCTTCCTGGAGACATTGTATATAGCTGTATATAGCCTACCCTTCCTGGAGATATTGTATATCAGCTTATATAGCCTACCATTCCTGGAGATATTGTATATAAGCTGTATATAGCCTACCCTTCCTGGAGATATTGTATATCAGCTGTATATAGCCTACCATTCCTGATATTGTATATTGTATATTCAGCTGTATATAGCCTACCATTCCTGGATATATTGTATATCAGCTGTATATAGCCTACCCTTCCTGGAGATGTTGTATATCAGCTGTATATAGCCTACCATTCCTGGAGATATTGTATATCAGCTGTATATAGCCTACCCTTCCTGGAGATATTGTATATCAGCTGTATATAGCCTACCCTTCCTGGAGATATTGTATATCAGCTGTATATAGCCTACCATTCCTGGAGATATTGGATATATGTGTATATTCCTGAGCTGTATATAGCTGTACTACCCTTCCTGGAGATATTGTATATCAGCTGTATATAGCCTACCATTCCTGGAGATATTGTATATCAGCTGTATATAGCCTACCCTTCCTGGAGATATTGTATATCACCTGTATATAGCCTACCATTCCTGGAGATATTGTATATAGCTGTATATAGCCTACCCTTCCTGGAGACATTGTATATCAGCTGTATATAGCCTACCCTTCCTGGAGATATTGTATATCAGCTGTATATAGCCTACCCTTCCTGGAGATATTGTATATCAGCTGTATATAGCCTACCCTTCCTGGAGATATTGTATATCAGCTGTATATAGCCTACCATTCCTAGAGATATTGTATATCAGCTGTATATAGCCTACCATTCCTGGAGATATTGTATATAAGCTGTATATAGCCTACCCTTCCTGGAGATATTGTATATCAGCTGTATATAGCCTACCATTCCTGGAGATATTGTATATCAGCTGTATATAGCCTACCCTTCCTGGAGATATTGTATATCAGCTGTATATAGCCTACCATTCCTGGAGATATTGTATATCAGCTGTATATAGCCTACCCTTCCTGGAGATATTGTATATCAGCTGTATATAGCCTACCCTTCCTGGAGATATTGTATATAGCTGTATATAGCCTACCCTTCCTGGAGATATTGTATATCAGCTGTATATAGCCTACCATTCCTAGAGATATTGTATATCAGCTGTATATAGCCTACCCTTCCTGGAGATATTGTATATCAGCTGTATATAGCCTACCCTTCCTGGAGATATTATATATAGCTGTATATAGCCTTCCTAGAGATATTATATATCACCATTCCTACCCTTCCTGGAGATATTGTATATCAGCTGTACATAGCCTACCCTTCCTGGAGATATTGTATATCAGCTGTATATAGCCTACCCTTCCTGGAGATATTGTATATAGCTGTATATAGCTTACCATTCCTGGAGATATTGTATATCAGCTGCCATGCCTTGTAGTGGTCAGGTTCATACGCCTGCAGCTTCACCACACACTGGTACGCCCGCTTCTTGAAGTCTTCTTCTTCATCGAAACGCTTTTTAGATTCCTGAAATAATTCATTCTAATGCGATTACAAACCAAAGTCACAATTTCTTGTTATCGTTACCAGACCAACAAAACTACTGTTTCCCCATGGAAGTCTGGATTCCATTTTCTATTGTGTTATGTTTAATATCAACATACAAAGGGACACAGGTGTACATATTATTTGACCATCTGAACCTATGTACAAAGGAGTGAGTGAGTTTAGTTTTATGCCGCACTCAGCAATATTCCAGCTATATGGCGGCGGTCTGTAAATAATTGAGTCTGGACCAGACAATCCAGTGATCAACAGCATGAGCATCAGTCTACACAATTGGGATATGATGACAGGTGTCAACCAAGTCAGCAAGCCTGACCACCCAATCCCGTTAGTAGCCTCTTACCACAAGCATGGGTTACTGAAGATCAATTCTAAGCCGGATCTTCAAGGGTTATGAACAAAGGAAGGTACTGTCACCTGTGATACTATACTTGTGAATATACAGGGCCACAATGCACAAGACCACCGGGAGACCAGTTATTTCATAGAAGGGACAATGTTTTGTTAAAGACCGATAATGTTTGAATTAAGCACTGTTAAGCATGTAAAATAAATCTCTGAAAGAAGACAAACAATTCAAGGGGGTTCATCACATTAACCTTGTGCACATCCAATTTGTCAAGCAACCTCATTTTTTCTTTTGTAAAACCTGAGGGTAAACTATTTCCCTGACCTTATAGAAAGCCTGCAAGTCAGCAATCGGAGGGCTCTTGGTCAGGTAATCAGGGAACTTCTCCTTCAGATGAGCGATGAGCATCCCGAACTGCGTCCCCCAGTCTCCCAGATGGTTGATCCGGAGAACATCATGGCCCACCCACTCCAGCAGCCGGCTGATGCTCTCGCCGATGATGGTGGACCTACACCAACACAAATTAACATAGCAGTGAGGAGAGAGTTGGGTTTAATGCTCACACTGATGATAGCCAGTGAGTTTACTTTTACGCTGCTTTTAGCAATATTCCAGCAATATCACTGCAAGAGACACCAGAAATGGGCTTCACACATTGTGGGGAATCAAACCTGGGTAATCAGCGTGATGAGCGAATTCTTTAACCACTGGGCTACCCCACCTGATGATAGTGACCAAATACATCATTATAGGCTATCTAAGATGCTTCATGATTCTACCTACCTGAGATGACCAACATGCATTTCTTTTGCAATATTGGGAGATGAAAAATCCACAACAACCCTCTGCTTGTGGTTGATGACAGGTGGCTTGACTCCTTGGTTGAGAATCTTGCTAATCTCCCGCGAAACATAGTCCTTCTTCAGATAGATGTTGATGAAACCAGGCCCTGCAATCTCCAGCTGAAGTAACAGTGAGCCTCAGTTTACATTCAGCTGGGTACTGAATCTCAAGCAGTTCATCCAGCAAACACAGGATACTAGGTAGCTTAAATCTCTCCAGACATCATTAGTTGTTCGCTCAGATAAGACACACATGCTCATAAAATACAAACGAATATTAGAACAGTTATGGTACATATATGTTGATGTGGTTAATGTTATTTTATTTCAATGTTTAATATGAAAATCTTTGCAGTGAAAGTCTGCATGGATCGCATCCGAAGTTCCATGTGCAGCCATGACATCGTATGTTTTCACTTGACTCATTCCATAGACTTGCTATTTACATCCACAGAGGCTCACATAAGCAATTTGATTTTCAGATTGCCGATATCAACAATAAGCACACAATTTATTGTATTTTGTTTGTCAGCACTTAAACGTTTCTAATGCTACATTTTGGTAGTGGTATCTTACTGATCTCTGGTTCGGACTATTTGATTTGGTTCTAGAATTTGATCAAACCTTATTGTTGCTTGATTCTGAGCATGTTGTCACTGAAGTGGTAGCCGGACAGTGCTTGGAAAACAAGCTGCCGGTGAAGTCACATCTAGTAAAATATCCCCTAAAGAGCGATTCAAACTGGCAGAGTGGAAACATATGTCAACCAAAAACAAGTGACTTCTTTCCTATTCCTAAAGTTAACATGTGTAGGTGCAGACTGCAGAAACAAAGTGGAGAGGCCCCTACCTTGTCCAGAATGTCCACCTGAGGCATCCTGTCCACAATGGCCTGGGCCACCTCCCTCGGGGTTCACCTTCTCACCCTGGCTCGACACAATCTGAAAACAACACATATATGTACAGAGCTACAGATAACTTCTTGGGTCATTGAGTTATGTACTCGCTTGTGTTCATCTCAATTGGGTATCCTAATTTTCCTTTGAGTAACCACATAAATTGTACCCAACTCACTCAAACTCAATTGGGTATTTTGTCATTTTCCATTAATTGTAAAAATATAATAATGTTTAAATGTTATATATATTGGATCTGTAATATGAGAAACGATAAGAAAGACTGCAAGTTCATGTGTTCAAATAGAACCTCTGAATATACCTCTGAGTCAGTTATTTTATCTATGCAATGGTACGCAAGCTATGATTTGACATTTTTGTGTGTACGCATGTAAGATCATATTTATTGAGTATTTACAAAAATTCAAGCGTACTTGTACACCATAGACTTAACAACAATTGAGTTTTCACATAAATATTTGCGTAATTTACGCAGATACGCAGCTTATCTGTACCTCTGTATGTATACTCAGAGCGAACAAAATAATATATATACATATATTTAAGACACAGTCAAAATTGTGCAAGTTGGATTTTCAGTTGAAAAAAACCAATCTGTCCTAAAAAGCACTGGAAAAGATTTGCCCGAGAACAAAACAAGCATTGTCACTAAGGTGATATAATCCCCCGCCGCAAATTATCACATCAAACTTAAAAAAGTAATGAAAGTTTAAGATGAAGATAAATGTCAACAAAAACATGACCAGTCAACCTCTCTTCATATCTTGCTCTTTCGTTGTTCAAACACACAATATCTTGCTGACTATCTTAACATGCAATTTAACATGGTGAAATCTTCAAAGTGTCTTTGTGACCTTGAAAATTAAGTGAAGGTCACCAAAATCAACTGGGCCTTGCACTTGCCCTAGATGAAGCTTGGTGTTAAATATGAAGAAAGTCCAGTGAATGGTTCTTGAGATATCTCGCTGACCATCTTAACATGCAGGTTAACACACTGAAACCTTCAAAGTGTCACTATGACCTTGAAATTTAGGTGAAGGTCACCAAAATCAACTGGATGAAGCTTGGTGTCAAATATGAAGAAAATCCAGTGAATGGTTCTTGAGGTATCTCGCTGACAAGCATAACATGCAGGTTATTATGCTGAAATCTTCAAAGTGTCGCCATGACCTTGAAAATTAAGTGAAGGTCACCAAAATCAACTGGGCCCTGCGCCTTCCCTAGATAAAGCTTGGTGTTAAATATGAAGAAAATCATTTAGTCATCGGTTCTTAAGATATTCCAATTCGTACATACGGACAGATCCTAATACTATATCCCCCGCTTTACGCTAAACGCGTGGCGGAGGATAAAAATAAAATAGATTAAAATTTCACTAGACATGCAGCATGTCCTGAAGTATATGTGTGGTCACAGAAATGGAATTCTGGCATGCCCCCTCCTGAAGCAGCTGTCAAACAATTACTGAAAAAATGTAGCCAAACACAAAGGGGTTTTGAGTTCTTTGAAGAGAGTCTGCCTTGGGGTACATACATGCATTTTCTGCAGGTGAAAGGGTATTTCGGGCTATCCATGCATGTGTGGTAGGGGAGGTAACTCCAGGAGGAGGTGGGGCAGTATGACACATGAAATCAAGATTTTTTCTACTTAACTGTTATATGATATTTTCAAAGCAGAAAATGCATGTATGCATCATAACCTAGACTTTTTCTGATAAACATTGTATGGTCTGAAGCAGCGACAGAAAGGATATCCCATCCCTGCCAAAGTAACGGTCAGCACCCAACATTGAAAATCTGAAGGGTGGTCATTAAGCAAAAGTTAACACAAAACGAAATACACAATAAACACTTGAAATCACCTTGGCTATTCCCATGGCGCTGTTACACTGATAATCTGCAAACTTCTGACTGGCTGACAACAGTATGGGCGGGTTCTCCAGTCCAGGAAAAGCAGCACGGATGGCCACACCAAATATCTCCTCCAGGACCCCGAACAAACTGACCATGTGGTCTGGGTTCCGAGTCTTCTCCTCCGCCAGGTACTGAAACCACAGATCTTGTTAGTTTAACAGAATACTTAGTGTTGTGTAACATAACAGATTGTTTACTGTTATAAAACGTAAGAGTGTAATCCAATCCAACACAATGCTAAGTGTAGTTTATCTTAACAGAATACTTAGAGTTGTTGAACAGAATCCTTTGCATTATTCACCTGCAACATATACAAAAGAATACGTAGCATTGTTTAAGTTTAACAGAATATGTAAGTTGTTTATCGTAACTGAAGCATATTGTGGCATGTGGGGCGTGTGGTGTGTGTACTGTGTGTGGTGTGATGTCTGGAAAGTCGTGTGTTGTGTCTTGTCAAGAGGGAAGGGTCTTGTGGTATGGCATGTGTTGTGTCTTGTCAAGAGGGAAGGGTCTTGTGGTATGGCATGTGGTGTGTTTGTCAAGAGGGAAGGGTCTTGTGGTATGGCGTGTGTTGTGTCTTGTCAAGAAGGAAGGGTCTTGTGGTATGGCATGTGGTGTGTTTTGTCAAGAGGGAAGGGTCTTGTTGTATGACATGTGTTGTGTCTTGTCAAGGGGAAGGGACTTGTTGTATCAAGGCGAAGGGACTTGTTGTATGGTGTGTGTCTGGTCAAGAGGGAAGGGTCTTGTGGTATGGCATGTGTTGTGTTTGTCAAGAAGGGAAGGGTCTTGTGGTATGGCATGTGTTGTGTCTTGTCAAGAGGGAAGGGTCTTGTGGTATGGCATGTGGTGTGTTTTGTCAAGAGGGAAGGGTCTTGTTGTATGGCATGTGGTTGTGTTGTGTGTGTCTTGTCAAGAAGGAAGGGTCTTGTGGTATGGCGTGTGTTGTGTCTTGTCAAGAGGGAAGGGTCTTGTGGTATGGCATGTGTTGTGTCTTGTCAAGAGGGAAGGGTCTTGTGGTATGGCGTGTGTTGTGTCTTGTCAAGAGGGAAGGGTCTTGTGGTATGGCATGTGTTGTGTCTTGTCAAGAGGGAAGGGTCTTGTGGTATGGTGTGTATGTCTTGTCAAGAGGAAGGGTCTTGTGGTATGGGTCTTGTGGTATGGCATGTGTTGTGTGTTTTGTCAAGAAGGGGGAAGGTCTTGTGGTATGGCTTGTGTGGTTGTGTGTGGTTTGTTGTCAAGAGAAGGGAAGGGTCTTGTGGTATGGTGTGTATTGTGTCTTGTCAAGAGGGAAGGGTCTTGGTCTTGTGGTATAGGCGTGTGTTGTGTCTTGTCAAGAGGGAAGGGTCTTGTGGTATGGCATGTGTTGTGTCTTGTCAAGAGGGGAAGGGTCTTGTGGTATGGCATGTGTTGTGTGGTATTGTCAAGAGGGGAAAGGGTCTTGTGGTATGGCATGTGTGTGTGTTTTGTCAAGAGGGAAGGGTCTTGTGGTATAGCATGTGTGTGTGTGTGTTGTCAAGAGGGAAGGGTCTTGTGGTATGGCATGTGTTGTGTCTTGTCAAGAGGGAAGGGTCTTGTGGTATGGCATGTATTGTGTCTTGTCAAGAAGGGAAGGGTCTTGTGGTATGTTGCTTGTGGTATGGCATGTGGTGTGTTTTGTCAAGAGGGAAGGGTCTTGTGGTATGGCATGTCAAGAGGGTGTTTTGTCAAGAAGGGGAAGGGTCTTGTGGTATGGCTGTGTGTGTGGTATCAAGAGGGAAGGAAGAGGTGTGTGTGTTGTCAAGAGGGAAGGGTCTTGTGGTATGGCGTGTGTTGTGTCTTGTCAAGAGGGAAGGGTCTTGTGGTATGGCATGTATTGTGTCTTGTCAAGAGGGAAGGGTCTTGTGGTATGGCGTGTTGTGTGTTTGTCAAGAGGGAAGGGTCTTGTGGTATAGCATGTATTGTGTGTCTTGTCAAGAGGGAAGGGTCTTGTGGTATGGCATGTGAGGGAAGGGTCTTGTGGTATGGTGTGTATTGTGTCTTGTCAAGAGGGAAGGGTCTTGTGGTATGGCATGTAGTGTGTTTTGTCAAGAGGGAAGGGTCTTGTGGTATGGCATGTGGTGTGTTTTGTCAAGAGGGAAGGGTCTTGTGGTATGGTGTGTGTTGTGTCTTGTCAAGAGGGAAGTGTCTTGTGGTATGGCATGTGGTGTGTTTTGTCAAGAAGGAAGGGTCTTGTGGTATGGCATGTATTGTGTCTTGTCAAGAGGGAAGGGTCTTGTGGTATGGCATGTAGTGTGTTTTGTCAAGAGGGAAGGGTCTTGTGGTATGGTGTGTGTGGTTTTTAGTGGGGAGTGTATTTAGTGGTGTGTGTTGTGCGTTGTTTTTGTGTTGGGCATGCGGTGTGAACTGTTGAAGTGAGTAGTGTTCTGTGTGATATGGTGAGGGGACTGTGGTATGGTGTTTGTAGTGTGTGCTGTTGGTTGTGAGGTGTGAAATGAGTAGCGTTCTGTGTGGTATGGTGAGGGGAGTGTGGTATGGTGTTTGTAGTGTGTGCTGTTGGTTGTGAGGTGTTAAATGAGTAGCGTTCTGTGTGGTATGGTGAGGGGAGTGTGGTATGGTGTTTGTAGTGTGTGCTGTTGGTTGTGAGGTGTGAAATGAGTAGCGTTCTGTGTGGTATGGTGAGAGGAGTGTGGTATGGTGTTTGTAGTGTGTGCTGTTGGTACTTGTGAGGTGTGAAGTGAGTAGTGTTCTGTGTGGTATGGTGAGGGGAGCGTGGTATGGTGAGGGGAGTGTGATACAGTGTTTGTAGTGTGTGGAGCTGGTTGTGAGGTGTGGGGTGTGGTGTAGTGTATTGTGGTGTGGTGCGGTGATTTGTCGGCGCGGCGTGGTGTGGCCTGTGCTGTGACGTATGTGGTGTGATGAGGCATGGAGCTAGACACTAGAGCAAATATTCCTGGTTGAATCCTACCACAGTTAACAGGCCACATTCCCCACATATATTAACTATGCATCCCAGTGGAGACCACCATGCCTATACAACACACATGGCATGCTGTACATGACTCAATGACTCATGACATGAACACATTGATGGCGCAAACCACCAACCTTCTTCAGATGATTCAGTTGGTACTGAAGCTTCACGTTCTCCGACTTCAACTTCTCTACCTCAGGGGAGACAACTCCATCCAGTTTGACGGGGTTCTGGAGAAGTATGATTTCCTGTTCCAGTTTCCTAATCTCGGCTTCCTGGAGAGAGAGAAAGAGAGCTAAATGATGTCATGCATTCAAGAACTGACTACTTTCAAATAAAAACAAAACATTTACTTGTTCCTTGACAACGGCTCTACTTTCAGTTGCTTCTTTCTCTTCTATGTCAAGTATGATGCAGTCTCCCACACTACTGTATTAGGGGTTTGGTGAGCACCTGTAACTAACACGCAGTACTGAAAGACAGGACCTGGAAACTGATGAACACTGCAGTAACCTGGACCCTGATGAACACTGCAGTAACTGGGACACTAATTTGAAGATTCCAGTAACTGGGACACTAATTTGAAGATTCCAGTAACTGGGACACTAATTTGAAGATTCCAGTAACTGGGACACTAATTTGAAGATTCCAGTAACTGGGACACTAATTTCAAGATTCCAGTAACTGGGACACTAATTTGAAGATTCCAGTAACTGGGACACTAATGAAGATTCCAGTAACTGGGACACTAATGAAGATTCCAGTAACTGGGATGCTAATTTGAAGATTCCAGTAACTGGGACACTAATTTGAAGATTCCAGTAACTGGGACTCTAATTTGAAGATTCCAGTAACTGGGATGCTATTGAAGTCAGCAGTAACTGGGACACTAATTTGAAGATTCCAGTAACTGGGACCCTAATGAAGATTCCAGTAACTGGGATGCTATTGAAGTCAGCAGTAACTGGGACACTAATTTGAAGATTCCAGTAACTGGGACTCTAATTTGAAGATTCCAGTAACTGGGATGCTATTGAAGTCAGCAGTAACTGGGACACTAATTTGAAGATTCCAGTAACTGGGATGCTAATTTGAAGATTCCAGTAACTGGGACGCTAATTTGAAGATTCCAGTAACTGGGACACTAATTTGAAGATTCCAGTAACTGGGACGCTAATTTGAAGATTCCAGTAACTGGGATGCTAATGAAGATTCCAGTTACTGGGAGCCCATTTCTGGTGTCCCCCGACGTTGCTGGAATATTGCTAAAAGCGGCATAAAACCAAATTCAGTCAGTCAGTCAGTCCAGTAACTGGGATGCTAATGAAGATTCCAGTAACTGGGACACTAATTTGAAGATTCCAGTATCTGGGACACTAATTTGAAGATTCCAGTAACTGGGACACTAATTTGAAGATTCCAGTAACTGGGATGCTATTGAAGATTCCAGTAACTGGGACACTAATTTGAAGATTCCAGTAACTGGGATGCTAATTTGAAGATTCCAGTAACTGGGACGCTAATGAAGATTCCAGTAACTGGGACACTAATTTGAAGATTCCAGTAACTGGGACGCTAATTTGAAGATTCCAGTAACTGGGATGCTAATGAAGATTCCAGTAACTGGGAGCCCATTTCTGGTGTCCCCCGCCGTTGCTGGAATATTGCTAAAAGCGGCATAAAACCAAACTCAGTCAGTCAGTCAGTCCAGTAACTGGGATGCTAATGAAGATTCCATGGCTGAGTGAGTAAGGTTTCAGGCCATATTAAGAACCATAGTACAAGAAATCAACTTCAAACATTGTACAGAATCCTTATAACTTGAACAACCTAGATGATAGTGTTAAGGTATAACATTGTACACAATCCTTATAACTTGAACAACCTAGATGACAGTGTTAAGGTATAACATTGTACACAATCCTTATAACTTGAACAACCTAGATGATAGTGTTAAGGTATAACATTGAACAGAATCCTTATAACTTGAACAACCTAGATGACAGTGTTGAGGTATAACATTGAACACAATCCTTATAACTTGAACAACCTAGATGATAGTGTTAAGGTATAACATTGAACAGAATCCTTATAACTTGAACAACCTAGATGACAGTGTTAAGGTATAACATTGTACAGAATCCTTATAATTTTAACAACCTAGATGACAGTGTTAAGGTATAACATTGAACAGAATCCTTATAACTTGAACAACCTAGATGATAGTGTTGAGGTATAACCTTGTACACAATCCTTATAACTTTAACAACCTAGATGACAGTGTTAAGGTATAACATTGTACACAATCCTTATAACTTGAACAACCTAGATGATAGTGTTAAGGTATAACATTGTACAGAATCCTTATAACTTGAACAACCTAGATGACAGTGTTGAGGTATAACATTGTACAGAATCCTTATAACTTGAACAACCTAGATGACAGTGTTGAGGTATAACATTGTACAGAATCCTTATAATTTTGAACAACCTAGATGATAGTGTTGAGGTATAACATTGTACAGAATCCTTATAACTTGAACAACCTAGATGATAGTGTTGAGGTATAACATTGTACAGAATCCTTATAACTTGAACAACCTAGATGACAGTGTTGAGGTATAACATTGTACAGAATCCTTATAACTTGAACAACCTAGATGACAGTGTTGAGGTATAACATTGTACAGAATCCTTATAATTTTAACAACCTAGATGACAGTGTTAAGGTATAATATTGTACACAATCCTTATAATTTTAACAACCTAGATGACAGTGTTAAGGTATAACATTGTACAGAATCCTTATAACTTGAACAACCTAGATGACAGTGTTAAGGTATAACATTGTACAGAATCCTTATAACTTGAACAACCTAGATGACAGTGTTGAGGTATAACATTGTACAGAATCCTTATAATTTTAACAACCTAGATGACAGTGTTAAGGTATAACATTGTACACAATCCTTATAACTTGAACAACCTAGATGATAGTGTTACGGTATAACCTTGTATACAATCCTTATAACTTGAACAACCTAGATGATAGTGTTAAGGTATAACATTGAACAGAATCCTTATAACTTGAACAACCTAGATGACAGTGTTGAGGTATAACATTGTACAGAATCCTTATAATTTTAACAACCTAGATGACAGTGTTAAGGTATAACCTTGTACACAATCCTTATAACTTGAACAACCTAGATGATAGTGTTACGGTATAACATTGTACAGAATCCTTATAACTTGAACAACCTAGATGACAGTGTTGAGGTATAACATTGTACAGAATCCTTATAATTTGAACAACCTAGATGACAGTGTTGAGGTATAACATTGTACAGAATCCTTATAACTTTAACAACCTAGATGACAGAGTTAAGGTATAACATTGTACAGAATCCTTATAACTTGAACAACCTAGATGACAGTGTTATGGTATAACATTGTACAGAATCCTAATAACTTTAACAACCTAGATGACAGTGTTATGGTATAACACTGCCTGGTGGCACAATGATTATGGTATTGTGACAGCCATAAAATGTTCAAGTCCTGGTATGGGATTTGAAGCACAGTCCTTTTGATCCAAGGTTGGTCACCTTGACCACATGACCAGAGGTTAATCCCTGTTAGTCAAGTGCAAAGGCCAAGTTAATATCTTTGATGAAACAACCTGTTACAATACTCCCCTATTCAACAGATGGCATCTCCCAGACCAGATAGTAAATTTCCTGGGACTTTTTTGTTCAAATCTGATATTTCCTTCATATAACACAAATGTTCAAATACTCAAATTATATTTTATTTGCTGAAATGTCAATCTCAAGCCCATCTATCCAACAGAGCAAATAATGACAAAATCATAAAGAAGATCCTTAACTATATTTGTCTTCTATGAATTGGATATTCATGAACAAACTTATGATACTAACACTAACACCGGATTTGTAACATTTTCTCAGTGTTTACTCAGGTCGTGAAAACTATCGTAAACTTCAAAGACATATCAGTCATCAGCAACCTGTTAATCGTTTTCAAACAATATGTCAAAATTCAGCGGGTTTTTTAAAGAAATTTTCTTCTGTTGATTTTGTATTTTGAGTCTAGGCTAAGTCTGATTACAAATTATGGACAACATTCGCTTATTGGTCAAATCTTCCAATAGAAAGATCCTCACGTTTAAGCTTAATTAAAAAACACAGTATCAAAACAATGTGATCGAAAACAGAACAGTTGATGCCGACAATGTTTATGAGAATTCCATGTAAGAAATCTGATCGGTGTCAATGGTAATAGCATCATTTGTGAGAAACTCCCCATATGAGGATAAGAAATGTAGTTAAATATTATTGTTACCGCCTGTTTGACGCGTTGAGTGTAGACATCCATATCGTCCATGATGCAACGTGCTCTTTTCAAGAGTTATGGCCCTTAGTTCCTGTTACTTTGCGCCAGGTGACACTTGTTCCAGCTGATCGTGCTGCGACAGAGTTACCGAGCAACCTGGCTCTTTATAACTGTGCCGTAAAGTGATGCAAGGGCAAGCAATGTAGTCTATTATTGCCCTAAACTCTACACGTATTTCACTAGCCGAGAGCCGCGATACGGTCCCAACGAGCGTTGGAACCAGGAGGTATTATTTTCAGCAAGCCCGTGTGTTTTCAACAACAAACTGAACTAATGCTTCAACAGATCTCAACAGCCATCAACTGAAGTACAGCAACCCTTTGTCAGAAAGAGTGTGAGTGAGTTTAGTTTTACGCCGCACTCCGCAATATTCCAGTTACATTGCAGCAATCTGTATATAATCGAGTCTGGACCAGACAACCCAGTGACCAACAGCATGAGCACCGATCTACGAAATTGGGATACGATGACATGTGTCAACCAAGTGCCTGACCACCCTATCCCGTTCGTTGCCTCTTACGACAAGGGTTTGTCAGAGAGAGAGCTGCAGTAGAAAACACCAAGTACATATATTCTATATGTATCAGGAAATTTAAAGAAAATCCATTTTCATGTTGGTATACAGCATTATGTTATAATGCTTGGAGAGAAAAAGGTAAAACGTGCTTGTAAAAATCAGTAAGCATGTTAATAAACATAGATTTCCCTGTTTGTTAAAAATTACATTTTACAGTATTTTTAATCATGGTAATAGAATGTGACATTTAAGGTTCGACAGTGTGTGTATTTCAGTTTTCAGGTCATTGATGTATGAGTGAGAAAACGTGTGTGCAAAGTGTATAAATTTGTGTAGCCATTTTTTAAAAATCAGTTTAAAAACTGGTGACGTGTGAACTGTTGTGGGTTAAGTAATTCATAGTAATAATTGCATTTGGTTCCCTGCCTGGTGTTCAGCTTGGCTGAGTACTCCATGTTAACCTGTGGCATGGTATCTCAGTGGACTAGTACTGTAAGACCAGCATTAGTCTTGACTATTACATGGTGAAGGCAAACACCTATTATCAGTGCAGGAATACTTTCTGTGACATTCGCCTTCCTTGAAATAGAAAATATGCTTTCAGACATTAATGTATAAAGGCCACTAACACCACTACCCTGCTATATAGACCTGCTGCCAATCTCCACCACAGGCTTTCTTTATCATCATACATCCTTCCTTCCGGGTACCCAGCATACAGCTGTGTTGACTCAGGCAGTGTAGACACAACGAATTAAACTCAGCTGGTACCCATGTTAAATTTCAGTTTGTAAGGAGTAAGTGAGTGAGTATGGTTTTACGCCGGTTTTAGGAATATTCCAGCAATATCACGGTGGGGGAGACCCGAAATGGGCTTCACACATTGTACCCATATGGGGAATCGAACCCAGGTCTTCTGCGTGACGAGCGAACACTTTAATCACTAGGCTACCCCACCGCCCTTATTGAATAAGCCCTAAGACCCAATCTTAGAAACAATGGCATTGCTCCATTGTGTCCTGTCACATTTGTTGTCAGCAGGTATGTTTCAACGGGATTGACAGCCACGCATTAATTGTCAGTGATGGTGTGTATGGAGGTATTTCTGAATCTCCTATGTTTGTATGCAATGACAGACTGTATGATAACTTTTATTTGACATTAATCCGCATGTAATATTAGACCCCATAACAATACTCCCTCCATGTAGCCAGACATAAAGTTAGTTGTACCAGTAGAATCTGAACATCCAATAACAAAATATTACACAAATAGCTATGGAAACAAGAATATGATCAGAGCCTGTAAAATGTACACACCTAGTCCCCAAACAATGTAGTTCACCTGATTTAATATGTTCATACAAACATTTTGAAAAGTTTGATAACATCAGCAGTTTGATACTATTGTGATTTATTTCAATCAGTTTTAAATATTCATTGAAGTTCTTGCAATACACATGGTTGAAGAAAAGTGTAATATTTAGATCCTTTGATCATCAGTTTCTTACGGTGACAATCAAATGTTTTTTTAACACTGATATCATTCTCTTCTCACTTTACAATCAATATCAAAACATCTTACACAGCCTCTGTGGTGTTGTGGCTGCTGAGTCAGTCAGCGAAGCAGAAGGTCCGCAGTTCGATCACCGAGTCTCTCATACTTACAATAAGGGACCTGTGCTTATTAAGGGATAAAACAAGGACTGGCAACCGGGGAGTTGGCAGGATAGCTATATTGAACATCAGCAACATATCTCTATCTCAGCACTATATCACACTGGCTCACATATGGACCAGTGCAAAGCAGCGTTCGAAATTAACGTCGGACCTTAATGGACCCGAAGCCGACTGAAAACCACCCGGACTGCAGGTCCTTTATGGCTGACAGCTTTTTCATCCCCAATAACTAAGATTATTATTTCCGCATTAAACTACAGGGCCTTCACATCCAGATCAGGACCCACAACTATTTATGGTTCCCGGTCCTCATGGTCCTTAGGCCTGCAGCTTTTCAGGGTTAAAGGCAAACACTGGTGTAAAGACCCACCCACAATCACGTACACTATACGTCGCTATAAATTCACAAATGTGATCTACCTTAACCCATTTTACGTCACACCACCTATTCTACGATTGAAGCAGTGAAAGGTATTTTCAAAACCCAAGACTTCATTTGATATCAGTGTTTTGATATGATATAGTCCGAGTCAAAAGTTATTGTGACACTAAATTATTTCATTTGTAATCTTGTGAATTATTTTTGGGATTTGAACCAGAGAAAGGGTGTGTTAAAATCGTTGCAGAAACATAATAAAGCAGTTGTTCAAATAGCACAATTTATTTCGCGAAGCATGACATAATTGAGAAAATTTGCCAGCAATGTTCACTCTCATAAAACGCCAGACAACATAACTTCCCTCAATGCAGCCGTAAGACGTGCAAAGTCTTTCAATGTGGATGTTACCCTTTACGAATTTCAGAGGTAAAAAAACACCTCTGTTCATCATTCTGAAGCAAGTTCCACATGCCACGCCTAAGGGTAAAATGACAGCTGTAGGTATTCTTCAGCCTGGTACCAGGCGCGTAGCAAGCCAATCACTTCGTGTAAGCCCGATAGGTTGCAAAGTTTTATATTTAGATAGTATTGAGGGCTTGCCCAACCTTTTTAGCAACAATCATGTGTGAGCCCGGGATTTTTTTATAATGGAAGCTACGCCCTTGGGTACCTCCCAACATCCATAGAAACACCATTTTGCATGATAACGCCAGACCACAGGTTGCTCGAGTTGTACAGCAGTGTCTTCATCATGTTAAGGTGCGTCAGCCTGGCTCGCATGCATGGTCCCTTGACTTGTCACACATTGATTACATCTCGGATGAAACACCTGGAGCGACGTTTGCGACGTCATCCGAATCCTCCAACAATGGCACAGGAACTCTGCCGGATCAGTCCTCGGACACGGAATGATTTTCCTCGGTACTTTCATAGAGGTTTAGTGGCCTAAACCAGGAGGAAGCGCAGGCCTGCATAAATGCACAAGGTGGACACACTTGCTGACAGAGAGACATTTGTTTCAATAATGTATTTCAAACATGCAAATATAAATAATACATACATGCTGAATATACGGTTAACATTGAAACACTAAGTCATGCTACCGACCGTGTGTACGTGTTTGTGAACCTTCTCTTGCGTTGTGGCTCATTTGCGTTACCATACCTTGCAACACTTGTCGTTCCACGTTCATCAACCTGATAAGCCTTCCTCACGTGCATTCATCAAAACAGATGATATATACAAACATCATGAACACAAGGAAAACCGATTGAAATGTACATCGCTCTTCCGTACATCAAAAGAAACCAAACTTAAATTGTTCTTCTTTGAAGGGCACAACGGACGAGAAATCTGAACCACACAATTTCAAAATACAAAATTACACCAAGAACATTTTCCAATCTATTTCCAGGTGTTCAGAATGTAATTGCACACACGACAGAAAATCTTTTTGCAATCAAACTGTCTACTACCAGTTTTTTGTATTATATAGTAATTATATTTCTTACGTCAACTTCTATAACTGAGTAAAAGTGGCAGTGGTTTGTATTCTTAACTATTGTTTCAACATGATCATATCAGTCGCACAACATTTGCAGATAGAGATACTAGACGTGAGTGGCATCACCTAGGACGGCTCATTAAACAAGACACATACTCACCCCCCTGTGAGCACTTCTACACCTATCAAAAGCAGTGCCGCGAAAGTGCGGTTTCCTTTATCAGTTCATCATCTACACTCGAAACGCATGGGTGATTTTGAGAATATTGGACTCATGTAGCTGCGACAATATCATACAAATATACTAGTTCTTTCCAAAACGTCATCTTTGTGCTTCAGCGCCAAAACGCGGCAATTTCAACTTGTCCCCTTGTTTTAGAGGTGTTTGAAGAAATATTCGCTAATGCGTCACCAGAGATGGTCTCTGGCGTCACCAAGAAATTATGCAAAGCACAAAGCATGTGGAAGTAAGCGGAAAATCATGGGGCATCGATCATTATAAAAAGGTAAACGTTGTGTTTAATTTTGTCATTCGTTTTTTTCCTGGAAAAGAGGAAATCATCATGCCACGACTGAGCGCCGCTAATCGAAACATCGTCATTATAGGCCGCCTTGAAGCTGGGGAGTCGCAGTCTGAAGTTGCCCGACATTTCCACGTTCATCAGAGCACCCTATCTCGCCTTTGAGATCGTTTCCTGCAGACCAATCGCGCAAGATCGCCCAAGAAGCGGCAGTCCAAGAGTTACCATCCAAGCCCAGGACCGCTACATCCGGGCTGCTCATTTGCGTCATCGTCTTGCCACAGCCGTGGAGAATGCACAACGCATCCATGGTTCGATAAGAATTTCCGATCAAGCTGTCAGGAATCGATTGCGTGAAGTGGGAATTCCAATGTTTTTTGTTGTTATCTTTATGGTTTAATTTCCAAACCGAAACATGAGTCTCATTAAGCTATTCAGACAAATTCCTTGTT